TTGTTGGAGCTTTTTCTGTATCATAAATCAAGTAAACTAATTGTTTGAAGATATTTTACCCGGACATACCAAGATCCGGCCTGATAATGATTATTTGGTAGAATAGAAATGCTCTTTATTTTGCAAGTAGAAGAATAAGTATAGTGATGTTACCAAATGAAGCCCAAGGCAACAAGTGCAAACCTTTATGTCTTTAAGTCCTCCAATATCCTCCCATGAAACCTTTGGAACTTCCACAACTACACCTCTTGTTATACTAGGACCAACAACAGACCTAGCATGCCTCCAGTCATCCATTGTTATGTACCAAGAGCCATCTAATTGATTTGATTTTGATGATTCCCTAAACGCAGACATAAAAGCTTCGCGACATAAAGCTTCCAAATCTGCACCAACATAACCATTGCAAGAAGCGGCAATCGTCCGCAGGTCAACATTGGGTTCCAATGGAAGCTTCTTTGTGTAAAGCTGCAATGCATCAACACTAAGATCACTCGCCAGCAATTCCAAAAACCTTAAACAGTATTATATTTGTTATTCATGTAGAGGATAGATTTATTTGACAACCTAGTTACAATAAGGCCAACAATAAATATTTTTCTCTTTATCGGTGAATCCTTCTCCAGTAATAACCTGGACAATAATAAGGCCTACAATAAATATATTTCTCTTTAACCATAAATTGTTTTATTAGTCTTTTTTGTAAATATTAGAGCTTCAGAGGGAATTGGAGGTCTTCATTTTTTTTCCTGTATTATCCACAGGTTCATGCGGTATCTTTCCTTGCAATTTGTATATTTTCTCGCCATTCTGATCAAAATAATTCAACAGACACCTCAAAAATATAGACTTAAAGTTGTGCACTTTACATTGAGGATATGAAAGCGTTCATCTTCATTAGGGGTTGTGACTTCAATCTCAGCATCAAAACGCCCAGACCTTCTTAGAGCCGGATCGATTGAATCCACTCTGAACATACATCACATGAACCTAACGTTAATCCTAAGTAACACTTGAAAGTAAAAAATGTACAAAAGGTAAAGAATACAACAAATTAGATA